CTCTTCTTGGTGGCTTCCTCATGTAACATGAGTCTTTGGAAATCCTGTGTGTGAAAAAACATCAGAGATTTAATATTTAGAAATCACTCCCTCCTTTCCTGTGACAAAACTCACACAGGGGAGACCTCACCCGGGAGAAAGATGGTCCTCTGCTGCCCACTGTACCAGAGATCATGCAGAGATAAGAACGTCCCACAGCAAGACCTACAAGGGTAATTTTGACCCGTTTTCAGATCTTGCTCCCTCCTGGAAAAGTCCACACACACACGCTGCAGCAGGGCACAGATCTCCAGGGCACAGATCTGGCCCTAACCAAACCCCACACAGAGCACAGTTCCCTCACCTCCCTATGGATCACAGGCTGATCTCAGCTCTCAACATGGAGGAAACTGCCTTGATGTTTAATGCTGGACACAGACAAGGACCACCAGCTCCACTGTAAGTATTATTGAGTGTGGGTCCCATCCTATGACAATAGCAATCTTTGATAAAACAGCATACCTGAAATCCCAGCACTTCGGGAGGCCGATGAGACTGGATCCTTTGAGCCCTGGGGTTGGAGACCAGCCTGAGCAACATGGTGAAAGCCCGTCTCTATCAAGAACACAAAAATCAGTGTGGTGTGGTGGTGCGCGGCTGTGGTCCCAGCTACTCTGGAGGCTGAGGTAGGAAGACCACTACTTCTCCTGCTGCCCTCCTCCCTCCCCCTTGCCTAGTTCACAAGACAGGAGAAAAGTGAGAAAGCAAAAAGAAACAGAAGTAAGATAGCCAGATGGCCTTGGCGCCACCACCCGGCCCTGGTGGTTAAAAATAAAAATAATAATATCAACCCCTGACCTAAACTACTTACGTTATATGTAAATTCCAGACATTGTATCAAGAAGCACTGCAAAACTTTCTGTTCTGTTCTGTTCTGTTCTGTTAGCTGATGCATGTAGTCCCTAGTCATGTACCCTACTTGCTTGATCTATCATGACCCTTTCACGTGGACCCCTTAGAGTTGCAAGCCCTTAAAAGAAGTCCTTCTTCCATGACTTGTCCTCCCTCTGCCTGGAGAAAGTCTTTTTCTTCTTTAGAATGAGTAGGTACGAGGTCAGGTGCTTGAGGGAGCAGGGGGGCTGTGACTGATGCGCAGTAGGGGGTGGCTGTTGCTTTTAGAGCTTCTGAGTCAGCTCTGGAGTTCCCTAAGGCAACCGAGGTGGAAGCTCGCTGGTGTCCTCTGCAGTGCATGACTAAGGTAACCGAGGTGGAAGAAGGAAGGATTCTGCTACCAAATAGGAGAGTAGGTGTGCCACAGCTGCTAGGAGCCACAGTTGTACTGGGGGTGCATGAAACCACCCATCTAGGTCAGGAGTCACTTGAAAAGTTGTCAGGCTGGTACTTCTACATCTGGCATTTGTCAGCCCTTGCCAAAACCATGGCGCAGTGGTGTGTTACCTGCCGACAGCACAATGCGAGGCAGGGTTCAGCCGTTCCGCTGGCATAAAAGCTCATGAAGCAGCCCCCTTTGAAGATCTCCAGGTGGACTTCCCAGAAATGCCAAAGTGTAGAAGTAACAAGTA